GGGGGCTCCTCGCCAGGCCGCGCGGTCCCGAGGAAGCCGCGTGCTGCCCTTTCCCGAAGTCCGCGCCGCTCGCCCAGGCCCAGCCCTTACCTGCCTCCCGCGGGACGGGCCAGCGGCACCTGCCTTGGGCGGGGGCCGGAGGCGGCTTTCTGGGCGCTGCGGCCGCGCTCGTCCGAGACCCTCTGTAGCTTCCCGATTTGCGCGACGCCCCTTGGTCGTTGATTCATCGGTGGAAGTTTTCCTCCCACCTCCTTTAATTTTTTATTTTAACACTAAGATGCAAACATACAACGGATGGCAGCCCTGTTCCCCTATTTTGGTTTAAAGAATGGTTTGTTTCTTTCGAGCTCTCGTGAACTCCTCGGTGACACTCAGCTCTTCCACTTGCGGAGCAGGTTCTCAACCTAAATACTTAATACCGTTACCTTCTTCCCCAGAGCCATGCCTAGTCCGTGGTAAAATAGTTACATGCTGATTTGAAAGCAGAGACACCGCAGGCCTCCAGACCCCAGAGCAGGAGGCCCTTTCCCGGCACCTTTGGAGCCCCGCGGGCCGGAGCTCAGCAGGTGTCCGGGCCGGCGGATCAGCCGCACTTTCCCCTCTGAGGCTGCGTCCGGAGACCTGGTCCCTCGCGGTGGCCGCCCCAACCCCGGGGCAGGTGGATGGGTGGCGGGTGGAGACGGGGCCTTGTGGAGGCGTTCCCGGTCGGAATTGATGGTGTTTGGGTCCGGGTGAGAGCTTTCTGCGGGGAATCTCCGCTTACCCAGGGAGCGCGGCCGCGACGGTGGGTGTGGCCGTGGGCCAGGGGTCCAGCGCGCCTACGAATCTCTCAGACCCTGAGAGTGGGGTGGGGCAGCCCTTGGGGCGTGGCTGCGCTTGAGATCCACCGGTGAAAATGGGGGCGGGGCTGTGAAGGGTGAGGAACTTAAAAGATTGGGCAAGCCTCCTGGCGCCTCTCGCGCTCGCAGGGTAGCGGTTTGGTCGAAGCGGGGAGAGGTGTCCTAAGCGGGGCGGCCGCCGGGGCCCCTCGGCCCCGACGCGTCTTTCTGTCCTCTCGCCCCTTCTTTCGCGCTCAGCTGAGCCTCTAGACTAGGGGATTTGGGGCACGGGGCGCTGAGGACCCACGCTCTCGCAGTGGGCAGGGAGTCAGTCCCCTCCTTGTGCCTGGAAACCTCAGGCATGCAGCGCAGGATGAATTATTCCCGTTTACCTGCCTGCAGCGGCGGGGTCTGTTCTTGGAGGCGGGACCGGCTCCGCCCTCTAGGTGTGCCGAAGGGTGGATGCGGGTCGAGGTCGGAAGGCGCGTTTGGGGAGAAGGCAGATTTCTAAGCCACGGACTTGACACAGAGTTCCAGTCTGTAGGTGGGAACTGCGTTTTCCTTGGTACCCACATAAACCTGATGAGCTCTGCACCCCAAATACCTGCCTCAGAGGGAGTCTGGCTCAGTCTCTGGTCCGGGACACCTCTTGAGGACCCCATTTGTAGCCCTTGCTCAGGTCTGCCCAGCAGAGCTGCTGGTATTCGTAGGGGAAGAAGAGGAGCTTGCTAGTCTGGAGAGAAAGGAGCAGCCCACAGAAGGGAAGAGAAGCCAGTCAGGCTGGCCCCAGGGGTGGCCAAAAGGCGTGGCCTTTGCTGTGGACTCAGGCTTTGAAGTGGCTGTGGAGTCTGAGAGCCACCAACAGTAACTTAAGGTCTGCTGCCAGCGGCTGAGGTCATGCACACCTTCCGCTTCGCTGGCACCGCTTCTCAGCACCCGCAGTGATAGGGTGGCCTGGGTGAATATTAAAATCCCCTTCGCCAACAAGGTAACCAGCAGTTTAGCTCTGTGACCAGGAACGGTTTCCAAGGGCTGCCTCCAGCTGTGGCCCTGCCCACCTGGAAGTCTGGAGGAAATGGGGTCTTGTGTGTTTTCGAAAACCTCTTGTGAAGGTACAGAAATCGGCCTTGACGCAGGGGTACCTGGTGTCTGTAGGCCAGGGCCCTGTTCTTTGATCTCCTTCCATATCTTCTCCTGGTGGGCCGTGTGGTAGCGTCGTCTGCACTCCCATACTGTCCTGTGGACAGCTTACTCTCTGTCATGTTGCAGTCATTGTTTATGCAATGGAAAATGTGCATTATAATAAAGAAGTAAACCTTTGCCATTCCAGCTGCTTAATTAATCTGAGCATCCCAGCCCAGACTTGGGAAATTCACTAAGCCTAGCTCTGGGGAGTAGCAAGGCCAGGTTTTCTTGGAGGCTGAGGGGCGTTGATGTGGCAATTTCAGGACTTGCAAAAAGGCCAGACTAGGCTAGGCGGAGGCCCTTTTGAGGACAGGCTGGGCCAGCCATCCTGCATCCAGGGATTCCAGCTTGTTGCTGGGCACACTGGGGCCTGGTGGGCCCCTTGTAGCATGGCCACTCAGTCTTTCTTGGCAGAGACTCCCTGGATACATTCCTACCTATTTGTTCTCGCAAAGGATTGTTTTCAAAATGACTGTGCCGTTTTCCCTTGGAGAAAGGAGCTAGAATATCTTCTTAAGTACTGCTCAGGCCGGGCCATGTCAGAGGTTCTAAGGACCTCTTGAAGGTGGCACAGGGTTGGGCATGGCCCTTCTGCAGACCCTGGTCACCTGCCCCTCTCAGGATAGGGTGGGAAATAACCCTCTCTGAGCCAATTCCCTTGATAGTTGGGAGAAGTTCATCTTCCATTTATCCTCACCCACTGAAGCAGGGATTTTACCGTGGGTGAGATTCCTGGGCAGAATGTTTCAGAGTTTATTTCCGGGCACTGTTGGTCTCACCCCTTACAAGTGCTCGCTGATACAGCTGCCTGGGAAAGGCACCCGCCAGAGTGGGGGGTTCTGGGCTGGCTCTCCCTTACCCAGGGCAAACCAGGCTGATTGCTGGCCAGGACTTGTCTAGGGACACATTCAGGCCAACAGTCCCCCTCTGTGCCCCCACAGTTCCAAGCTGCCAGTGGGCCTTGTTGTGAAACTCCTCAAACAGTGCAGAAGCCACCAACGGGCTGCCCTCTTCCCGGTCAACCATGGCTGCCCTGTGCCCGTGTGTCTGTCCAGAACTAATGGATTTGTATGCATCTCTACCTGTGTGTCCACGTAGATATTTAAGTACGTGAATAGGATCCTAGCAACATATTCTGTTGCAGGTTTTTGTTCTGTGTTTGCTTAAAGGAAACAGCTTTATTCTTTCTTTGTGGCTGTGGGGAGTTCTAAAGTGTGGTTAGTTATATGACTAGACCATAACTTACTTAACTTTCACCCATTGCCTTTTGAAAAACACCACTGAGCACAACACCAGCACAAACATGGGTCCCTTATGGAGGGGCCTCTGGCACTCGCAGAGGCCTGCATTAGAGACCCTGCAGCACTTGGCAATCCTAATGGCAATTTTGAGATACCAGTGTACTGGAAAGCATGTCTGGTTTGTGCTTTAAGAAGACAGTTAAAAAGATTCTTAAAATAAAAACTTCAAGAGTGATGCACTCAACTCTAGCAGTCATACCTAAGACTTCAGACTGTTTGCTAAGGGCCACGCATTGTTATGACTGCATTAGCTTATATGAAGTTATCTCCTCTTTATACGAATTCTAGGAGAGAGGCATTACTATAATTAGGAATTTTTGCATAAGGTGACAGGCTCACGTGGGTAAGGACTTGCCCAAGGTCTCTCAGCAAGTGAGGGTGGAGTCAGGGTTTGTACCTGGGCAGCTGTGCTCCTGAGTGGGGGCAGAGTTACTGCGCCCTCTGCCACTCCTCTCTGGACCTCTGTCCCAGGTAATGCAGGTGAGCAAGGCCCTGTGGTAATGTGTCTCCAGTGCATCCTTCCCCTGCAAGTTTTTATTATTTCTGAAATGCTGAGGGGTGGTGCAGTGGACACGTTTGTGCTCTCCCCTAGATTTGTCAGTTCATATTTTGCCATGTCTTTTCTTCCTTCTCTGCCTCTTTCTTTAAACATTATGTACATGTACTGTATAGTCCTTGTTCTCTTTCTCTTAACGATTCCCCACGTGTACCATAGGTGACCCAGGATCCAGTTCATCACGCATTGCTTTTGGTTTTCCTCTCTCTCTAGCTTTCCTTGGTCTAGAATACACCTTCTTTCAGGCATGTGTTACCATGACACTCTCACGATGGAGGCCTGTTGTTCTGTAGAACATCCTGCAATCTGGATGTAGCTGATGATTTCCTCACATTCAGGTGCAGCTTAAACCATTTTTATCCACAGTGTGACACCAGTGGTGTTAGGTTGGGGTGCACAGGCTGTGAGCCGTAGCTTTACTGGGTCGCGTGGTTGAGGTGGTATCTACAGGGCCCCCACCGTGTAAGGCCATTGCCATTTTCTCTCCGATGATACGTAGCCCATGGGCTGATACTCCAGGGTTTCTGGAGGACCAGGGTGTGGCTTCCCCTGTGCACAGCCAGGTGCTGCGCTGGGGCAGGCGTGCGTCTGTTCTCTGTAGATAGTCACCCACTTCCAGGCACTGGCACGGTGTCTGCATCATTTTCTGTCTTCCCTGACTGGACAAGCGTTGGGGCTTGGGAATCTTCAGAGTCAGAAGACAACCTGAGGGAGACTCAAGCATTCCCTCCCCAAACGGATTCTCCAGTTTTACACCGAGTGAAGGTGTTTCTAGGTAGTATTTGTAACCAGCTCAGAAGGTAGCTTGCGTGCATTCCGGGTCAGCCCCCGTGCCCACGCTTTTCCTGTCTCCCGTGCCTGGGGAAGTTCTGCTCTCTTCAACTCCCTGAAGTCCTGGGAGTCTCTCATGCTTTCCAGAAAAAAGGAAACATCAACCTGAGTCCACACACCTGAGCCTGTTTACCTTTCCTTTCACAGCCCCAAATGGGATTATTTTCTCGAGAAATCAGCCTCCTGTCAAGGTGGGGATAAACTCCCAGGCTGAGTGGTTCAGAAGCAGGCACTGTGCCGTGTAACCAGGATTGGAGTGGTAGAGACAGCTGCCAGCACCGTCCCTGGGGTGGGAGGTGCTGAGTCCGGAAGGCCTTGGTCTCTGTTCTGGACCAGTATTATGAAAACTTCAACTTTTTGGTCTTGTTGGCAGGAGCTGGACACCGGGCACCTGTCAGAAGACAAAGGAAGTCCTTATCCAAGGAAAAACTGCCTTTTGACCACATACACATTATCTATATGTACACATACGTGTGCGTGTACACAGTTTCATGCGTGTACACACATGTATGTGTGTGTATGTGTGGATGTGGTGTTCTAGTTCAGCTTTAGATCTCAGGTCCACTTTCACTGCCAGCAACTGGGGGCGAGCTGCTTATGAGTCAGGCTCTTGGTGAAGTCTCTGGAGCTCCCTCAGCTCCCTCAACTCCCTCAGGGCTGTGGTAAAGAGGCAGTTTCTCTACCTTACCCCAACCCTGACCCCCGTTGCCCTCACTTCTTTTATTGACCTGGCTCTTGTGTCTTCTACCTGGTCTCTGTTCCCCTCCTGATGTAAGGCTGGGCTTTGTGTGTGTGTGTGGGGGGGCAGAGCATGGCACCAAGAGCCAGGGGCCAGAGACAGCTTTGATAACTCCTAACTTCTTAAAACATTACTTTGGGCAAACCGGACCAAGGGTATACTGAATAGATTTTTATTTTGGGGAGGGTAGTGTTTATTTATTGTTCTCCTTTTTGAAGTTCATCACACAAAAACACTTGCTAACCAGGAACTTGGCTACACACTGTGGCCATTGGCCAGTGCGTCCCAAGGTGACCTGCTTGGAAAAGTGCTGAGGCTTGATGCCTTAGATTAAATGTCCCCGTGCTGCTGCCATAGGGGCGTGGCCTTCTTTGCGTGAGCGGGTGACCCTCAGTCCCTGGGCACAGGGCACATGCTTATCTCCTTGGAGTCAGCAGTCACGGTGCATCATGGAAGAGCTTTGTAAGATGTGGAGACCCGAAGTAAAAGTCCCTTGCTGAGCTAGGGGTGTAGCTGTGTGGTAGAATGCTTGTGTAGCACTCACAAGGCCTGGTTCACACAAAATAGCCACTCACCAAAGAGCACAAGTGCCGGCCCTGGGTCTTGTCCTGGGGACTTGTGAAAGTGGAGCTTTGCCGTGTGCCTGTGTCCTGTGAACATGAGCTGCTTGGATAGTAGCTTGGCAGTGGGGAGAGGGTGATGTGGGCTCCCCTGATCCCCACCCAGGTCTGCCCCACAGGCTAGTCCAGCCTCCCGCCTGTACTAAGAGAGTTGTGAGAGCAGTGCTGACCCCGAGGTTTTTGGGCTGAGACTGTGGGGGCCTGTGTTTCCGTGTCTGGCACTCCCGCCTGGCTCATGACATCCCGCTACACATCAGCTACACTTCTTAAAAGCCAGAATCCCTGCTGGGGATGGATCTAAGCTGTGGATTTGGGGGGGCAGATGCCCTCCCCAAATATTCTTGTGAGGGCTTAAGGAGACCTGAGGGTCATTCTTGATCCACACCCGAGTATGTGCAGGACCTGTGATGGAAGCAGGAGTGACCTTGTCCCGTGAATTCCTTCTCTCTGAGCCTTTTCATTTGTCTGTGACTCTCTTTTATGTATAAAAACTCTTGTTGCTTTGTTTTTGCTTTTTTTCTCTAGAAAAATAAAATAATAAAAAAACTCATTGAAAAGAAAAAGAATACTGGGAATTTGCTTTGGGGTTAGAGGTTAAAGTTAACGGTAGAGCATGAATGAGGGTTGTATAAGAAAGCATGGAGAAAGAGGAAGCAGGAAAGACACGTGTGTCTCGTGTTGCTGGGCCCTCTAGGAGGGGAGCAGAGGCCCGACCCCAGCAGGTCATTGGCCTGGAGTC